TTTCAAATAATTACGTAGTACTAAATCTCAGGGATGGTTTTCATTGCTGGAAGCAGGACCAAGCATAAACTCAGCTGAGACCTCCTGCTCTCCACCGCAGAACGATGGCCACCTTGCTCTTCAAAATAAATATACAGAAACGTTCCCAGACAAATAACTGATTTTTTTTTTTTTTTAAAAATGTTTCCCCAACTACCATGTAAAAATTAATATTCCTAAATAGCGATAGGGCTAGTAAGAGGCCGTACACCCTTCGGTATAGCAGCGGTGACTTTTCTTCAGGCCATGAGCTCTTTGTTAAAAGCATCTGCTTTTACTTCAGGATATTTAATGATTGTAGAGCGCCAGAAACACACAAATTCAACAGCTGTAGAAATGCCAGAGTGAAGAAAATAAAAATATTCCTTCGGGCAGTGTTTGAGTTTACAAAGTTTTACTTCACCTTAATGAAAATCCCAGAACATTGTGCATTGATGGGCTTTTGCATTCTCATTTCATTACTCTTTATATGAATATAAACTTGTATTGCAGAGAAATAAGAAAACAATGTTGCTGCAGACACGCTTTTGCAGGAATTTTAATGCAAACCTAAACTTTTTATACCTGAAGGAGAAATTGTGCCATGTACACGTGGCTCAGCTCGCCTTCCCCGGGTCACAAGTGGGGCTGAGCCTGTCTGTCCGAGATCAGGATTCGTCCAAAGATGCCGTGCTGAAGCGACTGCCTGAACAAGGCAGCACCCGGCTATTCGCAAACACTTTGGGAAAGCCTTAGGTTGAGCAGGAACTTAAGGCAGCTTGCGTATGCTGAGCTTTGCAAGGCAGGAGTCCAGCAGCAGGGACGCAGGGCAGCTGGGCACGGGGCTGGAGAAGGCTCCGAGTGAGGCCAAGTTTACTGGGATGGGCACAGGCAAAACAAACTCTAGTGCCTAAAGGTATGGATCTGACCTCTTCTACGCTGAGCACCATCCGTCCGTCTCCCTCACCCCAGGTAAAACGCACTTGTGGGGAAAAAGCAGTTTTTGTGAACGGGAATATAAGCAAAGCAACCCTGTTTTGTGTGCATAGACTTGCTGAGCAACTGGCAACGACACCGCCGGCGTGGCTTGCTTTCTTAATCCTGAATATCAACACAAAAAGATGTAAATTCCGTCAAGTCCCTAGATTGCGCTGGCTGGAGACGGCAAACAAATGGAGGGGAGACAATGTCAGGCAAGGGTGCGAGCGATGCTGCGACGCAGAGGGGACGGCACCGCGGGCGCACGTCGAAATGCGTACAGAAAGAGTTTTACTTGAATTCCTCCGCGACGAGGCCCCTTAGGTGCAGCCCGCGGGGCGCTCCCGATGTAATCTGGAAGGGAAACCCAGCGAGAAGGGGGGCCGAGCCCAGGCAGGCTGGGAAGGGAGGACTGCTCAGCCGTTACAGAAGTCACGGCCACGACCAGGCAGCTTCCTATCCGGGACCTAACACTGAATTGGAAAATGAACCATTACACCCCGGGTGGCTGGAGCGGCTTGGGGCGTTGTTATTGCTGTCCCCCTCTGCCTCCCACCCGCAGGGAGGGGAATCCACCTTGCACCCAAAACACGCGGCCACGCAAAACAGCAACGCTTGCAAGTCGCCACACTGGCTTAAACCCACCCTGGCCCTCCTGCAATCGGCTTGGAAATGCCTGCCTTTGCACTAGTTGAAAAAAAAAAAAAAAGCCACAGAGAAACCACAGCAGCAAGCAATACTGGCTTGTATCAGGCTGAGGTTTCTGTTCTGGTTTTATTTCGAGAAAGCACGTTGCACCTCAGAGCTGCGGTTTGCTTCATTTCTCTCTTATTGCTCTCAAAATAATCAAAATAAACCCCCCGCCAGAAGCTCTGAAATAAAGCAAAGGCCAGGGCTCTCGTTCATCAGCCCAGGCCGGGCCGTCCCCCTCCTGCCGTCGCTCCCTCGCTCAGCCAACGCACCCCGTGCATAAACTCACGCAGCAAAACCAACGTGCTCGAGGGTGCTCATGAGCTGCAGCCCCCCTGTGCCGCACCGCCCAAACCAGCCCCACCAAACGCATGCAAAAATCCCGGCTTGATGTGGTTCGATTTATTTCTAAGCGCCCTCAGAAACGGGGCAAATACAGGGGCTTTTGGTTAAATACAGCTAGGTGCGCATCATCTTTCTAACGCTCCTTTCCATCGGCATGCTCGAGCCACGTCAGCGATGAAGCGTTCTGACACTAATGGTAGGCTCCGTAAGCAGTCGTGCCGCTTTATAAAAATGTGTTTAATTGCCGCACGGTCCTGGAGAGTGCAAATATCTCGTGGCTTGAAAGCTGTAAAAATTACGTTAAGAATCTCTATAAATCAGCTTCAATTACCAGTTCCCATAGAAGCCGGACAACATAACAAAACCAGGTCCCCACCAGTGTCCGAAAGGTGACGGGAAAGGCAGGTGACATTTTGTGCATCTATTTTCACAGCTCAGAAATTGTCAGAGCGCTCAGCTTCAGGGAAAGGCGTGGGGTCATCAGGATTTCCAGCAGCCGGAGACCTGGCCCCACGTACCTGCGATCTCAGCGGCAGGTCAAGATGGAAACGGAGAGGTGCCGGACACTGCCACGGCCTCCGCAAACGATAAAACTCCCCCGGAGCTGTGCTGCTTTTATTCAGGAGGCTCTCTGAGTGTGTTAAGCGGCATGTTTTTATGTAGAGGAAGAAAATTTTCACCTATCACACTGCAATATAATGAAGATTAATTAGGTCATGGTTGCAAAGCACTCGCCAGCGCCAGATGCCTACTGCTAGCGTAATTATATTTATTATGGATGTGCCAGAGCATCCCAACTGCACTTACACAGAGGGCCTGACGACGGATTGACGGAGCGCTGTTTATGCCAGCAGAGCATCCCCAAAGTCGCTCTTTCAGCCCGCAGAGGTTTTGCAAGGAGGGATGCTCCCGAGCGAGCGCCCCAGCAAGCACCGTCACCGCCCAGCCGAGGGGGACGAGCCTTTCAAAACCACGACGGGCGAGGAAGGAGAGGAAACTTAGTCATCTTCCTCCACCCGCAGCTGAGCTGCAAAAGCACTGCAGCACAGCGAGGGCTTTCCACACCTCTGAAGCAATTACAGGCTGTCGCCACTCACAATAACACATTAGACAGAGTCATATCGCTTCAAAGACGGATCCCGGGTGACTTGCATGCTACTGAAAGACAAGGGAGGTGACAGGAGCCCCGCTGGCGTGCTGCTCAGTTGCTAGGCTGTCTGCTCTCCACCCACCCCGCCGCTGACTAACGCTGGCGACCCCAGAGACGTGTCACTTGCTGCAGATAAAACAATGAACACGAGGTTTCCAAACTCGCTATCGCTGTTGCTATGGGGCGATTTTCAGCTCTGACGAAGGGGAATGCCTCGGCGCGAGGGCGGTGGTCTCACCAGGCTGCTGCGGGCTTTCCGGGAGAAGAGGTGGGTTCCCGCAGGTGGGAGCCCAGCAGGATCGACCGATCCCCACCGCAGCCTCTCCCGACGGCACGGTGAGGCACTGCAAGCCGCAGCCCCGCTGCTGTACGCGGGCAGAGTCTCTTTTTGGTATTTTACCATTCCTGACCACTCTGCAGCAGATCTCTCAAGGTCGCTGCTGGTACAAAGTAGAGGAATTGATTAATGTACTTCGGTAGAGGAGCCGGCCATTCTGCTAAAGGCTTTCCCTTTCCAAAGCCCACCGCTGCTCTGCCAGGGGGCTCGGCTCCGAGGTCAGCCATCTGCCCCCGGTTTTGGGGGACCCTGGCGAGGAGGCAGTGGGGCAAGGGCGTCGTGCAAGCCAGCCGGGGCGGGAGGAAGGGCAGGGCGCGCTTGCCACGCGTGCCAGCCTTCCTGCACCACCCCGGGCAGGTCTGGCTGCATCCCCGCTCCCGCACAGGATGCTTTCCTCATCCAAAGCTGTCCCAAACATCCCGCCTTTCCTCTCTCTCCTCGGGAGACGTATGCAACCTGCTCCCCACCCCGGGCTTGGGCTGCAAGCGAAGCACGGCTTGCTGCACTGACCCCGCAGCAACGCCGCTCCCTGCTTTTCCGATTGCATCGCTGGGTAAACAAACGCATCTCCTTGGCACGCACGACTAGCCAGAAATCTCTGCTGCTGCAGCTCTGTGGTCCCCAGGAGGGGTTTGTGAGCCTGGGGACGGCGGTGGCCAGGCCACTGCCGTGGGGCTGTGCGGAGCTGTAGGACTGGAGGTGGGACTGCTCGGGGTGCACCTGAGCCAAGCCCAGGCTTGCTTTGGGTGGCTGAAGAACATCCCAAAATACAGTGAGTATTTTTAAAAGCCCTATCTCTCAGATGCATGAAGACACAAAAAACCCATCCTTAAAAAAAGACAGGCAACAGGCTCTATCCTTAAAGCGTCAGAGAAAAATCTGGCAGAGACCTAAATGCCTTAGCAAGACTCAGAAGCCAAAAGGAAGTGAAAAAGATCCAAGACTACTTTTTAAGCTCATCTCATGAGTTACTGCAGCTCAGGCAGAGACCTCCGAAGGCACAGCTTGCCGCAGCACATTGGAAGGCCGAGACGCAACGTTGCTCTGCGGCACAGGCTGGTGGCACAGGAAAGCAGAGGAAAAAAATCAGGGCCACTGAAAGCCACCAGAAACGACTGTTCCCCCAGCTTCTTTCTGTATTCATTCACAGCCCTGGAGGGCTGACGGTTATACATCAGCTTCCTTACAGACCAAAATATTCTCCCCACATCGCCTGGTTTCTCGCTGGAAATCGTCACCGTGGTGGCACGCAGCGCCCAAACGCGCGCAGGGTAGAGGTGCTGTGCTTGGAGCACACCAGATGCTTTACCTACTCTGTTAAAGACTTTACAACCTCGGGCAAATCACTTGACGCTCTCTCAGCATCAGCCTTTCAGGTTTAAGTCCATCTCGCCTGGATGGACTCCTTGGCTCCGTGGCCAAGGAGCAGACTGGCTGCCTCGCAGACCTTTCCTCGCCCCGTGCTGCCAGGAGACGCGGCGGATGCACAACGTGACATTTAAGACTTCCCAAGGGAACTGCATGCTCGCCAGCAAAGGTTATGGAAAAGTTTATGAGTGGATCCATGTGAGTGTGGCTCCGCAAATAGCACTTTCCTCTCCAGAGCAAGAGGTTGGGAGTTCAAGACACACACCTAGAACCGAGATATGAGCAAACAGCCGTTTATAAGCCCAGAAATCTCACGTCAGTAAATGCCAGCCACTGGGCTGCGCAAACGTTTCCTGCCTTTTCCCAGTGCTAACCGGCCCGCGAGACCCGTCGGCAGCAGGACAAGGCGCAGAAAGTCATGCCATACCCATGGCTGCAGGTTGAGCCGTGAGGATCAGGGTGGGAATTTTGTTCCTCTGGAAAATGTTAGCGCACGGGAAGGAACATCCCATCTTTGCTTCTGCAGAGAACAAAGCGGTAACCTCACCCTTTGATTTAAAGGACAGGGTGCAGCACCTGCACCACGATGTCGAGCAGCTGGGTGTCTAACTCGCTGGCGGAGACGGCGCAGAGGAAGGCAGCTTGGCACACTCCGCTCCCCTCCTCTGAACTTTCTAAATAGGGCTGAAAAAGTCACCGAGGTTATTTTGCTGGGAAACGCAAAGCGGAAAGAGAAAACCAAGAGGCTGGAAGATCTCCACGCCTTGCTGCAAGCCTCCCCCGCAGCCTCGCACCTGCAGCGCCCTTGGAAAGGGCCAAGGAACTGCTCGCCCCCAAAATGCTCCTGGTTTGCATCAGGGATGCGCTTTCCTCAGCTGGGAAAAGCTTTTCCCTTGAGCAGCAGCACAAACGTGCCGCTCCCAAAGACGAGCCTGGGAATTCCCTTTTCCTCGGCACCTTGGGGCAGCAGCGTGCAGCCCGCCTGTTTATTTTGGCAGGGCTGCGCTAGCTGGGGTGGAGTTTCCACCTCCAAACCCTCGCTGCAGCCCCACGCGCACAGCAGGCACATCCCGTCCCCAGGTGCTTCTGGGGCTGCGTTTTTAGGGGAACCTGCCCCAAAAACACAGCCGAGGTGCGAAGACACAAGTGCCCGGGACTAACGTGACATCGGCACGAAATCTGCTCTCCTTCCAAACGGGCTGCCCACCCAGAGCCCGCCAGCTATGCACAACGGTTCTGCTTATCTAGGTTTTGTAAAAATAAAGAGAAATCTCATCTCCGCTGGATGGTTGTGGGCTGGTGGGCAGTGCCTGGAAATCGCCAACGCATTTGGCTGTGCCGAGACACTCGCCCTCCCGCCGGAGGAGCCCTGCTAGATAAGGGGTACCGTCCGGGGCTTCCCACCCGTGACACATGGGGACTCATGCGCTACGAATGCCGTGTTTAATCCCTTCATAAGCTGAAAGTCAGCCAGGCCGGGATGACGAAGGCAGCACGCACGCTGTGACAGAGCGAGGCAGTCACGCCGCCTCGAAGGCCCTCACGGGGGACCCGCGTTCTGGAGCACATCCTTATTTCGCGATTTTTTCCGTCCCCTTTGCCAGTTTAAAGCTGTTTTCACAGATATCCAAAAATAACCTCATTTTTTTAGTGGGATCTTGGGATCTTGTGTCAGCAAGAGCCCACGAGAGCAGCCCAAAACGAAGCAGGTGCCTGCCGTTGCTTGCTGCCTGCTGCTCCCCGTGTTTCTGGGGGGCTGCTGCAGGCAGCGTAACCCACCTTTTCCTTAGATTGGGGCTAACGAGGAGAAATTTTTAATAAAAATATTGTACTCACAGACATCAAGATGTTCCCAGTTCTCTGCCAAGGTATTAATGTCCTGAGCACAGTTTGGGGGGATTTTTTCACCTCTCTAAAGGCAAGAGCGTGCACCAGGAAGGGGTGCATTTGCCTCTGGCCCCTCGCAAGGGTTTCTTTGCGGATTCCCACTGCATAAATATCGATTTATGCCCGAGGCATGCTTTCCACTTGCCATAAACACACATTTGGCTTTAAACACGTAACAAGTCCCCCAAATGCTCATCCCCTGCATGCCATAAGGCACCCCACACGCCGCAGCAGTGACCCCCTGGTCCCAGAGGCGCCCGCAGAGCCGCTCCCATTGACTCATCCCGATGGGTTTCCCGCCTGGATGGCTTGGCTCCCCCGGGACAGCCCTGGGAGGGTCTGGACAGGGTGTCCCTTCCTCCCAGCTCCTAATTTGGGCCCCCGCCTGCCTCTGTCTCTGAGCTCCTTTGTGCAGACCAGCTTTTATCACGAAACCCTAAGGCAGCACAGCTCTATTTGCCATCTCCTTAGCCAAACCAGATCGGCCCCGGTCGGGTTTGGGGCTGAAGGCGGCATGGCTGGAGAAGATGGGAGCTCCTGGGGAAGGCAGGCAAACCACGGATGACCCCATCTGGCTCTGCTGATGTAAACCGAGTGCTCATTGCCATGGCAACCGAGCGAGGACCACAACATGTGTTTTTCTGGTGCGATCCCAGCAGCTCCCGGTTCATACCGGAGCGCCTGTTCTCACGGGGCCAGGGGGGTTCGCTTCTCCCCTTTGGCACCCAGAGCCACGGAGGCTGCTCGCCCGCTTCGTGCACCGTCAGTTCAGCCGCGGGGCACGGAGAGGGTTGCACAGGCCCTGAGAGCCCTAGGTACGCAAAGAACACCCCAGCCAGCCTGCAAGGAAAGGAGGGATAGCTCAACCCAGTGCAAGCATGTGAACAGAGTGCGGGGGGGGGAGAAAAAAAAAAAAATAAAGCACCTTTCAGGGATGCTTTCCACCACAGAAAACACTCGTGGGGTCAGGATCCTGCAGAGCCCTGAACGAAGCAGCGGGGTTTGGAGAATGGAGCAGGAACGGCGTAGGGATGGCACGGCTACAGCGCGGCCTTTCTGCTCCCCGAAACCCCGAGCTCGCAGGCTGGCCGCGCGACCGGAGCCGCAGGCACCACGCGCGCGAGGTTGCCGCGAACAGCTTGCGACTTCAGTTCGGAAAGCGCAAAGCCTCAGCGTTCCTTCCTTCCACGTTTGCAGCCGTAACAAACGTAGGGGACGATTTACACACAGAAAGAGGCTGTGTGCCCTATCAGCAAAAGAGGGGTTTGCTTCGTGCCAGCAACAAAAGGCTTGGCCAGGGTTCGGGCTGTCACGTAGCACTGGCTCTCCCCAAACGCGTGTGCTGGCGTTTTCGGTAAGCAGCTGGAACACGATGCTGGGGCCGATGTGCACAGATGGATTGCGCATAAACAAACCACTCGTTCCTCTTCTCCCCCTTACTGGAGCCGCAGCTATTTCACCCCAAGACAGATCATCCAGGGATGTGGTGGATTCTCCACCTTTACAGTATTTTAATCAAGACCAAATGCCTTTTTAAGGCTAGGTGAGAGTTCAAACACACATTATTCTCACTCAGCGCCAGAACTGCTGGGTGAAATTTATAGCCAGAGTTACACAGGAGGTCAGTCCCGAATGCTGCAAACTTCAAGACACGCGTACAAGCAAGATCGTATCTGAGATTCAGACTGCAGCGTTGCGATGCATCCAGGGATTTGTGGCTTTTGTACATAAACCAGGGAGGCTGCAGGAATCCGCTCTGATGAGCCAAGATGGGAATTTGCAGAGGATAAATAAAGGAGTACTGTCTTACATTAAAGACCTCTCTTTCTCAGAAGAGATGCAGATCGTATCGTAAAGGGGTTATAATTTCGGCAGGCAAAATTTATCATCGCCTGGAAGGGAATTAATTTATGGTTTGGATGGGGCTGTTACCAACTTCGCTACTCAGGTAGAGTGGGACGTCACCCGGAGCAGCGTTACACCGTCACCCCACGGCTTTGCTGTTCTTGGTGCCATCCGTTAATAGGAAAAATGATAAATAAGTAAAGAAAGCTTGAGAAATAGGGCAGGGAAGAGCTCCAAAGGCAGAGGAGGAAGACGGTGCCAGCACTGCACATTCCTGCAACCACAATCTGAATTGCAGGATGCTGCGTTTCCACCCCTGCCCTCGAAAGACTCGAGTAGACATTGCCAGTTTTAAATTCTGCCAATACAAAAATGCGATTAAAAGCCTCGCATGGCTGGTAGCGACTCACCCCCCAGCTATAACCGCGGTTCAGAGGGGCAGGGAGGGTGAGCCGCCCCAGCTCCGCAGCAGGGTCTGCGGCGCCAGCGGGAAGGGGAGCACCGACTTGCACCCCAGCCTGGGTGCTGCACGAACGCCGCCGATGTTATAACTCTGATCGCATCTCTAGAACTTTGCCCTGTTTCTTTGCAAGATGGGAATCGCACTATTTTCCGAATTGCCTCATTTACAGCGCGCCTGCGGTGCAACCTGCTTCCCCACCAGCGCAAACGCGCCTCCAGAAGAATAACCTAGAAGCTGCTGTTTCTGCCTGCTGTAAGGAGCCCCCCAGCTCCGGCTGTCCTGTCGGCCTGTCGCAATATCGATAGGCAGAGCTGCCTGATGACGCTTTTCCAGCGTTTCATGATAATTTTCTGAAAACCATGCCAAACCACCCCGAATGAGCTGTTGAACAGAGGAATGAATCAGCCTTGTCAGGAGGGATCAACGGGAAGCCCAGCTGCGGCACGGCACTTTTGCTTGGTCCCAAAGGGCAGTCTTAAGGGGGTAAAAAAAGAGAATTTGAGGCTTTTACTTTGGGGGGGTAGAGGGGCTGACCCCCAGACCCCCTGCAACCAAAGGTGTCAGGCTTGGAGACAGCCCCGACCTCAGTAGGAACCCTTTAGGGTCTCAGCAGCAGAAAAAAAGGGGATGCCGGCGTGTTGGGAAATCCTCAGAGGGCTTTGGGGACAGGCTAAGCTTTTAGGCACATGTTCATCGTGTTTTGCCGCAGCCGAGGGCACGCATTTTTCCTTAAATCCTTCTGCATGTCCAGTCTCTCATTCCCCAATCCTTTCCTTCCTGCAAAAACAGGGGGAGGAGGGAATATTTCCCCAGTGAGGTCAGTGGAAAGGCTGCACTTGCCTCCAGCTGGGTTTGGATCAGGCCAGGGCATGCAGGTGTCTAGGAGGGACGGACAGGGCTCCCGGGGCTTTGCAAACACCCCCGCAGCAGTCCCATCTCTGCGAGCCCACACCCGGCCCCTCTCTGCCCCCCGGCCCGGGACCATCCCTTCTTCCTCCCCGCC